GAGGCTGAGGCTGCCCCCCGATGTGGTGAGGGCGCGGGGTGGCCGGGGCCGTGCGGGGAGGGGAGAAACCGATGGGGTCGGGGCAGGCAGGGGAGGGCTTCTGCAGAGACCTGGCTCGGACGGAGGACACAGACCAGGTGGCTGGTTGCAGAGGGTACACAGAGACCCCAAGTGGAAGACCGGGTCGTGGCCTGGGCGGAGATACTGGCTGAGAGGCATTGCAGGAGCTAAGTCTGAGCTGCCAGGTCGGTGTCCTGTGGCCACCGGAAGGAGAGGACTTGCATTGAGGGACGGGGAAAACACTTTGAGTGGGGGAGCCGGGGAGTCTGATGGAGCCGGAGGAAGCCAGAGCTGGGCGCCTGGTAAATGCCAGGCCCCTCTCTTTACAGGGGTGCTTCCGAGAGGCTGGACTGGGGGCAGCAGGGAGTCCTCGTTCTGTAGAGCCAGAACACCATAGGGTCTCGTCATTGGTTCACCTCTGGGGTCCTTTCTCCCAGGTCCCTGGCCCTGGCTCCCCAGCCGCCTCTGGCTCCGGCTCCCCAGCCGCCTCTGGCTCCCCAGAGCACTCCTCTCCGAGCAAGAAGACAAAGAAGGCTGCCCTCTCAGGTCAGCTGCCCAAACTGGCACCCCAGAAGGACAAGGTGAGGAGGCTGGACCAAGGGCTGGGGAGGGGGATATAGGGTAACTGGCTGGCTGACAGCGTCCTGTATCTACAGGTCTCCTCGAAAGTCACCCTCTCTGAACTCAAGTCATGCCTGCAGCGGGCCCGGGAGCTGGGGGCACGGGCCCAGGAACTGAGGGCAAGTGCCCCTGGGAATGATGCCAGGGAACCCAGTGTGCTGGAGACTGAGGAGCACCCAGCAGAGCCATGGTGAGTTTTGGGTGGGAGGCACCCCAGGAAAGGGTAGGCTAGTGGGAGGCCTGGTAGTGGCAGGGCTGGGCACAGGACTGGAGCTGCTCCATCAGGGGGCCAGCACAGTGGATAGGACGCTCAGACCTTAGTGCCAGTCACCCTCCATCTAAGAGGGTGCCAATTCCTGCCTCAGTGGACCCTTATGGATTTCAAATGATAGCCCATGGTGATTGGGCATTTGCTTTCTATCGTTGTTTGTCCTCTCCAGGTCCTGTGGTTGTCACGTGCCTCTTAAGAGATACGGAAACCAGGGCTTGGGGTGGTCAGGGACATGGTGGAGCTGGGTTTGAAGCCACCCTTTTCTGTCTCCATCCCTGATAGTGCTTGTGATGGGGAGCTGGGCATATAGGAATTTGTAAACTGGTATGCAGTGTGTCATGGGGGCAATTTTGCAAGCCCTAGCTCTGGGGTATCCCCGGCTGCTTTGCCAGCCATTGGGTCCTGGAGGGGATGTGGGTCTGATGCTTCTCTCAAGGCCTGGCTCCCTCCCTGCAGTGAAGAGAAGGCACCTGCCTATCAACGCTTCCATGCCCTGGCCCAGCCCGGCCTTCCTGGCCTCGTGCTGCCTTACAAGTACCAGGTGTTGGCTGAGATGTTCCGCAGCATGGACACCATTGTGGGCATGCTCTACAACCGCTCGGAGACCGTGACCTTTGCCAAAGTCAAGCAGGGTGTCCAGGACATGATGCGGAAGTGAGTGGAGTCCCTGGTTGGGTGGGAGCCTTGTCCTACAGTGGAAGCTATCTCACTGACCCCTGACATCCTCATCCCATAGGCGCTTTGAGGAGCGCAATGTGGGCCAGATCAAAACCGTGTATCCTACGTCCTACCGCTTCCGCCAGGAGCGCAACATCCCCACCTTCAAAGACAATGTCAAGAGGTCCGATTACCAGCTCACCATCGAGCCGCTGTTGGATCAGGGTGAGTGTGCCTTGGCTGAGTCCACTCATCTCTGAGCCTTGGTTTCCCCACCTGTGACACTGCATTTTGAACATGGATGTGAGGGCACCAGGCCCCTCGTCTGAGACCCGTGGTGTGGGGCTTGGCGCCCCAGTGGCTCTAGCCCAGGGGCTCGGAGCTCAGGTTTGGACTCTCTCTGCAGAGGTTGGCAACGTGGCCCCCCAGCTCACAGCCTCACGCCTCCTACAGCGGCGACAGGTCTTCAGCCAGAACCTGGTGGAGCGTGTCCGGGAGCACCACAGGGTGAGCTAGTGACCCCACGATGACCAGCTCAGTCCTTGTTGTATGAGGTGTCCCTGTGGTCTGTCCCCTCCTTCAGCGTTGTTGTCACATCTGCCTCTTACCCAGCAGGAAACAGGCTCTCTTGAGAGGCTGTATTCTAGAGCAGCAGTTGCCAACCTTTCGGACCTCAGGGACCATCAGTGGTCCTCGGACCACTGGTTGGCGACCACTGTTCTAGAGTTCTCTTAAACCACTCACCAAAGTGGGCTGTCGTCTCATGTGGATGGGGATTCTGGGCTGGGTGGGGACCCTGGCCCTCAAGTGAGGGGTTCTGACCTGAATGCAGGATTGGGGAACTCAGGGATGCAGACTCAAGACTTGGGAGGCTTGCGATAACTACAGTGGGTGCTGGTGGGATGGGAACCTCTACAGCCCTGCTCCACCCCAGCCAGATGTGCCCAGGGTCATCGGGTATCCGCTTCTTGGATAGGTCTTCCTGGCCTCCCTGAATCCCCCCATGGTGGTGCCTGAGGACCGGCTGACACGCTGGCACCCTCGCTTCAACGTGGATGAAGTGCCTGACATCGAGCCTGCTGAGCTGCCCCAGCCACCTACCACAGAGACGCTGGCCACTGCTCAGGAGGTGCTGGCTCGAGCCCGAAGTCTGATGTCACCCAGGGTGAGACTGGCCCCTGTTTCCCAGGGAAGGGTAGCCCGACCCCCTTGTGGGCACCCAACAAACTCCTGTGTGGCTGTGGGCCTGGGGGTAGTGGGATGTGCCCTCCCTATGTTTAGAGCACTGCCTACCGGCAGGCTCTACATAGAGGTGCCCAGCACAGGTCTTTGATGTGCTGGGGTGAATTTGGGCTGGACATACAGGGCCTCCTGAGCAGGGGTCCATCAAATGGGGTGTGAAGGGCCTCCCCTGTGGCTGGGCCAGGAGAGACTTCTGATCTCTCCTCTCTGACCTGATCTAGATGGAGAAGGCCCTGAATGACTTAGCCCTGCGCACAGCTGTGCCCAGCAGCCCTGTGTCCTCCAGCCCGGTACTGCCAGCCACCCCTCCAGCCACGCCACCTGCTCCCCTGAAGGGGGTGTCCCAGGACCTGCTGGAGCGGGTGAGTGTTTGGGGTTTAGGGATGAGGTGGAATGGGGACAGCTGTCCACTGACCACTCTCCATGCCCAATGCAGATCCGGGCCAAGGAGGTGCAGAAGCAGCTGGCACAGATGACACGGTGCCCAGAGCAGGAGCAGAGGTTGCAGCGGCTTGAACGGCTGCCTGAATTGGCCCGGGTATTGCGTAGCATCTTTGTGTCAGAGCGCAAGCCAGCACTCACCATGGAAGTGGCCTGCGCCAGGATGGTAGGCAGCTACCGCGTGGCCATGAGCTCAGGTATGTGCAGGGGCAGGGCCACTCTGCATGTCCTGAGTCCCAGATGAGGGTGGGCACCGTAAATCTGCACCATTCTCCACACCTGCTTGTGTGCGTTGGGTGGGCACAGTACCCTGGAGATCACCTGAGTCCCTTTAATCCTGCAGTTTCTTGAGGTTGTCTCCCCCTCACAAACCTGGCATTTGCCCTTGAGGTCCTATGAGACCACCCCCTCTCCAAACCTCTGGTCCCACAAAGCTGCAGGACACTTCTGCTTCAGGCTCGGGACTTGTGACAAGCTCAGTGGGAGAGCCACCTCCTTGGGAAGGCTGTGCAGCCACTGCCCTGGCCCAATCCTTCTGTCAGTCTACCTACCCCCTTGCCGCTGGGTACACAGATTTGTCTAGCCTGGAGGCAGGTGAGGAAGCAGGGGCTGAAACTAAGGCAGGCTTCTTGACAGAACCCTGAGGTGAGAGCAGCACCTGTGTGCACCCACTTACAGATGTGCACACAGGCCCAGAGGTTTGGGGGGTAAGGGACAGGCCCCTATCTCATGAGGCCCCTCTCTCTGCAGGGGAGATGGAGAAACACGTGCAGCTCCTCTCTGAGCTGCTGCCTGACTGGCTTAGTCTCCACCGCATCCGAACTGATACCTATGTCAAGCTGGACAAGGCTGCTGATTTGGCGAGTGTCACTGCACAGCTGGCCTGCCTTGCTCGCGCTGAGGAGATGCTGTGAGCCTGGTGGCTGCGCACCAACGCGCAAACGTGGGCTCAAGGCCCTGGCTTGGCCCTCTGTGCCTGTTTTATTCTCTAAGAATGCATTTGGCTCTCCCATTCCTGATCCACAAAGGGTCAGCAGTTGTACTAGGCTCTGGGGATGGAATTATCTGGCCATTGTGGGTGGTACAACCACCTCCCACAGCATGCTGTCATTAAACTGGTTTCCCTTCAATTTGTCTTTGCTGCACAGAGTGCAGGTATGGGGGGGTAGGGTGGCTTTCCTGGCAGCATGGGTTTGAGCAGTGTGATTGGCAGAATAATACCCCCCTCTCCCCCGTCGAGCACAGGGGTCTTGAGAGCTCATCCTGTGTTATCCTAATGGGCCCAGTGTCATCACAGCAGAGGTTGGTGGATGGTATATCACTGACTTTGAAGTTGGAGGATAGGCCATGAGCCAAGGAATGGGGGAACCAGCCCTGTCTACACCTTGGTTTTCAGGATAGTTGGCCCTCTATCTGCCAGTCAGCTAACTAAGCAAAGGGAAAAAGTTACAGTGTTGGTGGGCCCAGGATGGTTACTCTGTACTGAGTACAGAATAATTCCCTAAACAATACAGCATAACAACTACTTACATAGCATTAGGTATTATAATCTAGAAGTGAAATATACAGGAATATGTGCAGGTTATATGTGAATAGTTTGTATAAATACACTGATGGAGTCCCCTGTACCTCCCCTGCCTCTTGGTCCTGAGGCCCAGATCCCACCCTGGGCACCTGAAGAAACACCACTCCAGCAGAGTTGATCAATCATGTTCTTATTTCACTGGAAATCTGAGCAGCTTGGGCTTGGTTTGCCCTGGGCCACCAGCTTCAGGCCTTTGCACTTCCAGAACCTGCAGGAAGGACCCAGGAGCTGGATGGTAACTCAACCACAGAAATGGATAAAAAGTCCAGGTGGCCCTGACCGGTTTGGCTCAGTGGATGGAGCATCGGCCTGCGGACTCCAGTCCCGGGTTCGATTCCGGTCAAGGACATGTGCCTTGGTTGCGGGCACATCCCCAGTAGGAGGTGTGCAGGAGGCGGCTGATCGGTGTTTTTCTCTTATCAATGTTTTTAACTCTCTATCCCTCTCCCTTCCTCTCTAAAAAATCAATAAAATGTATTAAAAAAAAAAGTCCAGGTGGACAGCAAGTTGTCAAGTGTAGCCAGACGCCAGACCGCTCCTTTTTCTAGCTGGTGTGGAGCAGGGTATTGAGGTCACTCATACTGCAGGAGGGAGAAAAAGGGCACGGCCCCCAGCTTCTCTCTGCCTTTCAGCGAGGTCAGCTCCACCACACTCAGGCATTCCAACACCTCGGCCCGCAGCTGGCCCAGCAGCTCACAGGCTGCACGCATGGTTCCTGATGGAAGGGAGAGGAAGGAGTTGGCATGTAATAGGGTCCCATCTGGCAAGCAGGTAAACTAGTGTCAAGGACCTAACCCACTTCTCATACACATAGGGCGCTTCCACCCCGCAAAACTCCCCAGTGCCAAGCCCTCTTCACTTGGGGGAGGCCCTCACCACCAGTGGCCAGCAGGTCGTCCACAACTACCACTTTCTGCCCTGGTTCCAGGGCATCTCTCTGGATTTCCAGGTCAGCCTGTGGATGGAAAGCAGGCACATGGTTGGTACATCTCAGAACAGTGTTGGTGTGCAGAGCCCAGGGGCTAACAAGGGGCTACCACCTGGGCCACGGTTTCAACCCTCCCGGCTGTTTCCTGGCTGTGTGAGCCTGGCCCAGTGTCTCAACCTCTCTGAGCTCCCATGTTCACTCCAACCATGGCAGCTCTATTTGATTCTACAACGTTCCCTTCGGGGAAGGAGGGTCCATGGGATCAGCCACCAGCCCTCTCACCTTCCCATATTCCAGTGTGTAGGAGGTGGACACTGTGGGGCCCGGCAGCTTTCCACCTTTTCGGATGAGCACGCAGCCCAAGCCAAGTTCCTGGGCCAGGGAGGGGCCAAACAGAAAGCCTCGAGAGTCCAGGCCTGTTGGTGAGAGCTGGGTTATTGGGAGACAGCCGTGTGGCACAGTAGCATGGGGGTTCCCACAGGTCAGGCTGGAAAATGACAAGTAGTCACTACAATGACACAGGATGCCTGACCTTGTTGACGCCAGCTAAAAGGCCAATGATGTCCATCTATTTAGGGAATGTTGACTTACCATGCTCAGGGACTGCCGGTTGCTAGAGAGAGGGAGGTTAGGAGGTGGAGCTAGGGACTAAGTCCACACTACATGGTTGAGTAATACTGGGTGGCCTTGGGGACGTCACCTGGCCTTGTTCCAAAGCTCAGCTGTTATCTCTAACTGGGCTGTAGTAGCTATGACACATTCAGCACAGGAGCTTCTGAAGGAGAGGCAGTGACAGGGCACGGGCCACCTCTTCCCTGACACGGAACAGGAAGTGTGGTGAGGGGGACACTCCCAACTGAAGAGGGCAACAGCCCGCCTGTGCCCCCCCCAGGCAGTGGGGGTCAATGGGAGGGTCAGGGAGTGGGGCTCTCATGGGGATACCCAACCCCAGAGTCCTCCCTATCTCTCCAAGCCCCACACTGGGTCAAGAGTCTGGCACACAGGGGGTGCTCAATGCATGCTTGTAGAAGGAGAACAAGAAACCTCTGACCCAGTGGAATCTGGTCGGGTACTGCCTGGGGAAATTCCCCTGCCGGAGGCCAGGAACTGGGTGGGGGTTTCCCTAAAACCCGCCAGGGCTGCGGAGACGCTAATGCCATCGACCTTGGCTCGCACCTCGGCCCCCCGGGTATGTTCAGGGTACAAGAAATAAGCAGGCGTCTCCAAATCGACACCCTAAGCCCCACAGCCTGCAAGGCGGTACCCACCTGGCAGAAGCCATTCCTCAGGCTGCTGGAGGGGCCTGTAACCCATCCCAGGGCTGCAAAGTAGGGGGCAGCGGTTCCATCCTGACAGCCCACGCTGGGGTTATGAACCATGCACCTAGAGGTAGGGCCCCTGAAGGACTCCCACTATCTGGCCTCCCCTAAGCAGAGATGGAGCCGTCCCTCCCGCCCTCTGCCTGACTCAGGAAAACGAACCCCACACAACCAGCCTCCGGCGGCCTGGCCCAGACCCAGTGACCCCTCCAACTTATGATCCTCCGAGGCGGCCAGAGCCCCCTCACCCCCGACCCTCCACTTGCCCGCGATGTAGTCGATCTTGCCGCCGTGGGTCTTCTTCAGGTGGTTCGCCAGGAGGCTGATGGCCGCGCGGAAGGAGTTGGGGTCCTTCAGGAGGGGCGAGATGTCCCTGGCACGCAAGCACAGGCCTGGTGACTCCGGGGTCGGGTCTCGGCGTGGGGATGGCGGTCCCTTGGGGCACAGCCCGCTGGCACCCCGACCGCCCCACTCTACGCGCGGGACAACGGCCCAGGCCAGCGGGTCCAACGCCCAGCGGGTCCCTCAGGTCGCCCGGTCCCCGGTGGCCAGCCCGCGCCCGCCCGCGCGCACCTGAACAGCACGCCCGGGGTGGGGAAGTCCGGGAAGCTGCGGATGCGCTGGGCCACTAGCTGCAGCTGGGGGTCCGCCATCGCTGCGACCGCACGTGTGCGCAGGCGGGACAGTTCGGCGGCTCTGAGCCGGAGCGGGGAGGGGCCGCCTGCACGGAGCAGGCGTCTGGGTGGCAGGAAGGACGGGCGGGGCTGGCGGGCTCCTGTAGGAAGTCCCGTATTTCATGGAATCTTAGGTGCCATCGATTTGAAGACGCCGGCTTATTTCTTGAACCCTGAACATACGCGTGGGGCCGAGGCGCGAGCTAGGTCGGTGGCAATAGCGTCTCCGTAGCCCGGCGGGTTTTCAGGGAAACCCTCGCGCGCTTTCGGCCTGCCCCCGAGTGCCAGGCAGGCCCTCCGGGAAGCTTTGGCAGGGATTCCCAGGCCGTAGGCGGGTGCTGGCCCTGCCCTCCCGGCTCGCACCGTCTCGCGGCTGCAGCTCCGCTCTCCTGACATCCGGAGGTTCTCTTTGAACTCCT